TATGTACTTTGATATATTTTTAGTATTACTTCTACGTGAAGTCAACGATTTACATAGTTAAAGATGCTAATTTCAAATAACAGACTGTAGTGGTAATTTTTATACGATAGATGGAGTAGATGAAAGCATAGAGTTGATAGTTCCGTTAGAGTACGGCAGTGTGAAGATTGTATATAGATATTAGACAAGCGAGCTAGGACAACTTTTAAGGAAGGTACAAATCGGTTTTTTCATCTCTCTTTACCAAACTCCCCCTTTGGAGAAGGATGGTGAGGGGTGTCCCCACCCGAGGGGTGTATTTATAACAATAACAATAAACAAAAACATCCCAATTAAAAACTCAGCTAAGTCATAAAAACTATCCTGGTTTTTATGCTTTCATCACCGCACCTGATGTGTTTTGCCTTTCTTCTTAAAATTAAGAATGTAGGTATTTAAAATGAAGAATGTACAGGGCAAGTCAATTGATCAAGTCAGTTGAATTCAACTGACTTGAACGCGAATTGAACGTGTAAACTATGCCATTCAACTGACTTGATCAACTCACTTGAACTGAAAAAAGTTGAACCAGGCTCAACTTTTCAAACCAATTGAATTCAACTGAGTTGATCATTTGACTTTCCTAGTCTAAACCCAGCTTAACCGCTGGCAGCTTTGATCACGCAGAAAAAAGTATCATCGAAATAAAAATATTTGAGGTAAAAATAAACGTAAACTCAGTTTGTTCTGGCCACAAAAATAAAATAGATTGATGCAAACGTACTTTATGTTCAAAGTCATGTGATATCAATGTTTAAAATAAAAATCATTATACGTTTATTTTAAAAATATTCGAGTTGAAAATAAACGTGAATATTTTTGATTGATTTGACAGCTTTGTAAACAAAAATAAATATTTTTATTTTAAACATGATTTTAGAGTTTACCTTAAACGTATTTAATGTTAAGAAAAAATATATATTTATTTATTATTATAAATCATCAATGCGCGATAAAATAAAACGTTCGTTTCCGATCAACCTGACACACTCAAGCTGGGAAGACAGTTGTAAACCAAATGCGATTCTTCCACAATGCAACGTTTTCGAGACATGGCATCAATGCTGGTACCCGGCGTTTGATGACTGTATAATGTCTCCACGTAGAACATCTTATCCAGGAGCCAGTCCTATCTTTCGTACAGGCATATAACTGATAGGAATTCTTCCAATCAGAGTATCACCAGCTCCATCGTCGCTTCGTCCAGCTCTTGATCTAATCCGGTCACTACCAAAAACTTCAGATCGTGCTACATGCCTAGTGAAATAACTACCATCTTCTGCGCCTTTATTGTCTCTGCCAACCATTTCCGCTTGGCCAGGTCCCACTGGAGATTGATTCCATTCTTATTCGTCACGTACAGAAACCGATCATCGTCAGTCAAACACAGACATGGTGACAAAAGCTGTCAAATACAATATATATAACATATACAAAATATATTGTTGAAATAAACATGCCTTTGAATTTAATTTAAACATAAATATTTTCGTTTTAAACATGTTTTCAATTTACTTTGAATAATTAATGTGTTTAGAGTATAAACATTTATATGTTTGATATAAATGAACAAAATTCGTATCCGTGATGCCGGAAGTCGCAACTCAGTCTCGCGCTAAGAGAAGAGGTGATAATACGGGGACAAAAATGAACCACTTTTCTGTCAAACGTGAACCAGCTCGTGATTGGCTGATTTGATGTGCGTAAGATAGAGATAGACACAGATAAAGATAGAGATAGACATAGAAATTAAAGAGGAAGAAGCCAATAGTCACCTCTTCCTCTTAAGCTGGGTTTAGACTAGGCAAGTCACTTGATCAACTCAGTTTAATTCAATTGGCTTGAAAAGTTGAGCATGGTTCAACTTTTTTCAATTCAAGTGAGTTGATCAAGTCAATTGAATGGCATGGTTTACACGTTCAATACACGTTCAAGGCAGTTGAATTCAACTGACTTGATCAATTGACTTGCCCTGTCTAAACCCAGCTTTAGGTCTCGCAAAACGAGTCGTGAAGCTCAGTTTACTGGTGACGTTCAATCAGCGTTGCCAGATATACCGATTTATCGGTATTTGTACCGATTTCCGAACCAGATACCGATATACAGATAAGGTTCCTCAGAATACCGATTTTTGAGATTTTATACCGATTTATACCGATTTTTTTTAAATAATCAAATTTATTATTGCCTGCCCGCACTCCAATTTCGGAGAAAATTTTTGTGAGCGACTTGAATCTTTTTGAATACCTCATATTTTTGAGCCTTCAAAATTCTAAACAATCATCTCTAAAGATGCCTTATGCTTGATACTCTTTCGACTAATGTTTGCATTTCCTCACCGTTTTTGGCTACCCATCAATCGAGATATAGTCGATGGCTCGTTCCGGTAATTCCTAGGGAATCGAGAAATATTGTATAAACATTATTTAACTAAGGGAAGTTTTTATTCATTTTTAAACTTTCTAAAATTTCATCCAACTTTCCCTGGATTTTTCTTCCACCTTACCTTGGAAGCTTCTTAAGCCTTCGCTCGAATGATTCTTTCATCTTCTCCCGCCAGTTTTTTCAATTTTCCCGGAACTTCAAGGATGCTATCAGATTTTTATTGCGGATCCACACTAGCTGAAGCCTGCAGCCTGCAGGAACATTTAAGAAGTTCTGTAACTTCAGAAAAGTCCAGGCTTTTGCGTAAGTTTTGATAAATTTAAGACAGTTTCATTAACTTCTGTTAAAATTCGAAAACCCGGAAATTTCAGAAACGTCCAGCGAACTCTAGTGAACTTAGGGAAACATCATAAATATTTTGGAAACTTCACAATTCCAAAGAACTTCAGGGAAATTTAATGGTTTTCAGGAACTATAGTGAAGCTCAGAGAACATCAGGACAGATCAATTAATTTCAATGAAATTGCTGAAATTATAAAGGAGTTCCAAGAAACTCAGGCAATTTTCGAAAACTTCAGCAATGCAAATTTAGGAAACGTAAGGTCGATAACTTTAAAAAATTAAAAAATCGGGAAGATCAGAGAACTCAAATGCTAATGTTACAATAAATTCAATTGTGAGAGCACTTAAGAGATTTCGTAATCTTCAAGAAAGTCCAGAGACCTTCAAAGATGATATTTCGGAGATATTCCGGTAGTCTCATTATAATCAAGGAAATTCCAAGCGCTTCGAGGATCACCAGAGAACTCCAAAACAGCCCCTAATTTTAGGAAAATTACAAGAACTTTTAAGGAATTTCTAGGAATTATGCAATATTCTTAAGTGCATTTCAGGATTGTTCCGAAAATTTCAGGGAAATTGCGGAGCCTTCAGGGATGTTTTATGAATTGTCCTTGTTTCTTTCAACTCTGTTCCGTAAGCGCTCTGGCTTCCGACTTTCTTCAGATGTTTCTTCCAATCTACCCTAGGAAGTTTCTGCCAGCGTCTCCAGGAAGTTTCTTTCGTATTCTCCATGAAGTTCAATTAATTCTCCCAGAAATTTCTTTCGTCTTCTTCTGGAAGTTTGACCATAAGCCAAAGGTTTTTTTTTGTTCATCTTCTATTGGAAGGTTTTACCGAGATTCTGGCTTTCCCTGGAAATGGCTACTTCTGGAAATTTACGTCCGATTTCCAAAATTTTCCGGCTTCCTTTGTATGTGACATCCGATTTTTTTCCGATATTTTATTTAAATTTTCGCCACAAGTTTCTCAATTGTGTGTTGGAAGTTTCCCGGATGTTTTTCCAACTTTTCTTAGAACATTCCTCGAACTTCATCCAGGCGAGCTTCTTTCGTCTTTCCCTGGAATTTTTTTCCAGCTTCGTTCAGAAGCTAATTCAAACATTCCCCGGAGTTTTCTTCCGGAATTTTCCGATCATAGTTCAAAAGCTAAAATTTTGCTTTGATTAACGGCTTTTTCAGTCTTAAAACACTGCAGCGACTACGATGTATTCTGCAAGACATTTTGGTCATGGGTTGTCACCTTTTTCAAGTGAAAATATTGTTTATCGTTATTGTCAATAGTTTAGTCGTTGTTGTGGCTGATTTTCCATATTTTTGTTCATTTAATGATATTAAATTAAAAAAAAAACAACCACCACAATTTTGATCACCACTTGAGGACAACGGTAATTTAAAAAAAAAACAAAAAGTATTTTAAGACTGGGAAAGCCATTAAATAAAGTAATTCCCTTCAAGTCCCAGTCATCACCATCGTTAAAATTTTCGCTTTCAAAAATGGCAAAAATATAACATTAATTAAATAGTAAATACCGATACATACCGATTTTTTATTATCATCGATACCGATAAGCTTTCACACAATCTGGCAACGCTGTCGTTCAATTTTCAAGGGCTTGGAAGAAAATAATATTAGGTACAATTGGCATATCAAAGTTGGCATTCGTGGAGAATAGAAGAACTATGAAAGTGATGATGGTTTCAAAATTTTTCACGGTGAGGTATACGAGTGCAATCTTATAATGCTTTTATTTTGCAAATGGAGCATTTTATTTAAATCTGGTTAATGCTACGTTAGTAGAAAACTTAAGGACTACTCAATAGGCATATAATATAGAGAAAAAATAATTTCTTTTCAAATTTTTAAGTGTATACATAGATTTCAGCTTTTCTACCATTGTAGCAGCAACCAGATTTAAATAAAATGCTCCATTTGCAAAATAAAAGCTTTCTAACCAATCATCATTTTCATAGTTCTTCTATTCTCCACGAGTGCCAACTTTGATTTGCCAATTAAAACATTAAATTTTAACACTCAGTGGAAACTATCGCCTCACATCTCTATGCTGGCAGGAAGTTCGCCATAAAAATATATTATACCACGCAACATGACTCACACATCTGTCAAAATCGACCACTTGTCACAACAACACCAAACACTATCGTCGCCAGTTTAAATCCATAATTTGGGTTGGGCGTTGTTTACATTCCGCTCGTGATTTAAGTTCAATATTTTATTTTTATTTTAAGTCAAAATCCCGAGTGCCTTTCGAAATGAATCACCTAAAACCGCTGCTTGCGATGCTAGTCCTGCTAGTTACATTTGAAAGAAGTAAGATTTTCCTAATAGCTCAACCAATTGACATACTCACTCAACATTCTGACTTCCTACAGGTACAGCAATTTGGTGCTACCGCTGCACGTCGGCCACACCCGGTTGCGGGGACAACTTCAACTGGCGAGGAATCGGCTACCTGGGTGATGCCTGTCCAGAGGATGACGACATCTGCGTTAAGGTGATCGAACGGAAAGGCGGTAGGTGAAGCGGTTCCAATTGGAATTGGCAAACGATGGTGACCATTAGAAAGCAATTAATCGTATCGAACTTTCAGTGACGGAAACCGTAACTCGAGAGTGCCTTAGTGCTCTGCAGGGCTTCCGCACGGACATACCGGCCGATAAGTACGAGGGATGTCGCCCGGCGGCAAAGGACGAACAGCTGGCACATTATGTGAACAACTCTATCAAGGAGTTGGATGTCAAGAGGGATCACTTCCCGCAGACGACATTCTGTTTTTGCTTCCTGGACCATCGATGCAACGGGGCACCACGGGGAGTGAGTGGAGTTTCGTGGAAGGTGGCACTGGGAGCGGTGGCAGTGGCCGGAATCTTGCGAAGGTTTTAAGCTGTAACGCCGAGCTGTCCCATGATTCACATGACAGCCTAAGTGAATTAGGAAATCATTCCGTCCATTTTATTCAACTAACGAAAAAAAGTATTGAATCGCTTTTAGAATCTCCGAGTTTTATGACAAATCGAGTATGTAAGTATAATTTTTAAATCTGTTCTTTTGATGGAAATTTATGGTTACACTCAGCAGTCCATACCGTTAAGTGAATATTAAGCAGTAAAGTGTCTTATTTTGATAATATGCCGCGCTTGATGACTTGCTTCGAAATTCCTGCGGTTTAGAACAGTGTGTAGTAATTCCTAAAGAGCCTGAATTTATAAAGAGACGACATCTTATCCATTTGACAGGTCTTCTGCTCGATTGGGATAACTTTTCCAATGGCTTTGACAGATAATCGATTGTTCCAATTTTGAAAAGTCGTCCCTTTATAAATTCAGGCTCTTTAGTAATTCCCAAAATGATTTGAAGGCGATTGTGTGCGATGTTTACACTTAAATCCGGCTCAGAATCACTTTATTGGTAAGTATTTTGGAAGATACATTCCCTTTGTTTTCACAGCCGGAGGAACAGTCTCCATCCGACGAAGATATGGACGAACAGAAGGATTAAGATGAGGACGAGGGCATTGATCTGAGGAACCTTCTTGGCCGGTAAAAGTCAGAGCGAAAAGGTTGAAATTCTGAATTATGCCACTCAGGCCTGGACATACTAATACAGCTAAAATACAACTTTTCAAAATTATGAAACTGTGAGATATTATAATAATAATTTATATATGTTAGATGTAAGTAGAGGAGGCAAAGTTTGAGTATGACACATAAAATCTGACAATTTCGCTTCGGGAGTGTCACAATTAGCGATTAGCTATAACGAGTCGAATAGTTAGGTTAGGTTAGGTTATCTTTATTAGCGAGACTTTCAGTCAGACGCTGGTTCATCTCTTATAACGAATGGTACTCACTCATGACGACTACTCATTACAGTTAAAATAGCTAATTGTGACCCTCTGAAAGCAAAATTGACTGACACATAAATCATACACAAATTTTACCTCCTGTTCTTGCATCTTACATATAAATTTTTTTTATTTTAATATCTCATACTTTCATAATTTAACAAAAGTCGAATTTTAGCTATAATAAGTATGTTCAGGCCTGATGCCACTACCCTCGCCGACAGTATTCAAAGTGAAGGCAATACCCTCACGAAGACTAGCGTTGTGACGCAAATTCCATTCCTGTTTAAGCTGGATTTATTGTAATAAAAGACTATTGGCCTCGATTGATTGGCGACGAGATTTTATTTGGTTTGAATAAAAGTTAAAGCAACTTATTTTGTATTTTTATAATTTGATAAATGTTCAAAAGTATAACGGGAAAAAATAACCAAACATAGGATGAATCCACCCAAAATCAATTTCCCACAGGTTATCAGTAAATTTAACGTACCTATATATGGGTTAGTCAACTTTACCCAAGGGGTATTGAACTCTGCACACCATAATCTGTGCCGCGAGATTAAGTTGTGCCGAGAGCTGAGACAAGCTCTATGCCGAACGTGCCGAAGTAGGCGATAGCCCGCTCGCTACACCAATTCCGAATCCACGGAGGGCTGTACAAGATTCTGCAAAGCTACTTACAGAATCGTGTTTTGATGTTGTGGCAGGTGCCATATTATAAAAATCAAAATGTAAAAAGTTGTACATTAATTGAAATTTTTCAAACACCATCGAATTACCCCTTGACGCATGAAGCGTTCGCAAAAAGTTCACTCACCGAAATGTTCATTAGATGGTAAATGAGTTCTCTGTACCATTTCGGGCGCCAAAGCGTAATTCGATAGCCAAACGAAGAGTCTAAGCAAACCACGCGTAAACGCACGGACATCGACCTGCACAATTCTGCTTTCAGGATTTGTTGACCCGTCCCATCCTTTCATGCACTTCGGGTGGGAAGCGAATTGGCATATGCGTTAACTTGATAGAAGGAGAATGCCTTCCTTCGTATTTTTTTTACAAAAAAATTAGTATGCGTGAAGGCGATTTTTTGAACTTCGTGAAAGTCAACTTCGTTGATTTCACGTAATTTCCGGCGACGAAGATTGCAATTCTTGCGCCTAATCTGAGGACCTTCAGACTTGATTCTTTCACTTCGTTCTGGTTTGTGGAAGAGGCGAGAGCGGTCCGAGTTTCAGTAATCGCGCCGTGGTGTGAATTTAAAGGTGAATTAGTAAACGTGAAATAGTCTTTAAGTTTGTTAATTTAGATTTTCTTTATAAATTCCCTCGATTAGTTCGTTAGTTTTCGAAATTAGAGCAGAAAGTGCTTAGTGCGTTAGTTCGGCGGTTAGGAGTGTGCGAAGGTGTATTGAAACCGAGGTAATTTTGTGTGCATAATTTTGTTCAGTGTGCAGATGTTGAATGCCACGCGACGGAATTTCTCTTTGACAGATTTGTGGCAAGTTGCGAAGCTCGTCACACCACCCACATCAGTGAGCGACCGTTTTCGACCCCATTTTCCAGCTTCGAAGAACACCCGGTGGTACCAGAGGCCGGAAAAGGGCAGCAAAAAGGTTTCCGCGCCCTAGGCACAGTGAGCAGCAACGCACTGGTTTCGAACCGGTGACCTCCCTCTTCAGCGGCAACCACTTTCCGCAGTTTCCCGTCGACGGTGACGACCATCAATGCGACGGCCGTACCCCGTCTAGGTAGAAGACCACAACTCAGCGTGTGAGGCGTAGTTGGAAAACTACATCGGCTATGTGCAGTCCGCAGTAGCATAGTTTCGGAGTCCGTAGGAGTATCACGTGTGGTACACGTGGGTTTAACCGGCATCATCGAGCAACCGCCAATTCCTCCACGCAAGTAGCGAGTCAAAACGTGAGTAACATGCATGTTCACAAAATTCCCATGCGCATGGTGAGTTAAAGCCCCTAGCATAGCATAACCGCTAGCGTGGCCGCTGTTCATTCAGCCGTTACCCATTCCGATCCGCGCAAGCGTCGGTAACGCCAAACAGCTTTTTGTAGCACACACAAAATGAACACCATTCGTCGCACAGCACACTAGATAAATACCGCCAGAAGAAGAAAGAAGAAAAGGATAGCTAACTAGAGGGAATGAATTTGAGATAGGCCTAGAATAATAAATTGTCGATAAAGTAGAAGTACGAAAATAAACCATCATGAACAAGAGGTAGTTTGAAGATGAATAGGAGGCGTTTTCAATAAACCAACACACTACAGATAAAAAGTTTTTGTTCATCATTTCCCAAAGTGATCTAGAAAAGCGAATGTAAGGCTTTTTCACGTTTCCGGTCGTTTTCTTTTGAAGTTTTTGCAGAGTTTTACTGGGGAAGTTGGCCCCGAAACCAACCAGGATTTCTCTCTAGTCGAACGGGATCCGTTCGAAGTGTTGTGTCAAGCCTGCCCGTGATGATAAAATCCGCGAGAGCAATTCATCGGTGGCAGAAATCGTTTTCGTGAATGCTTCATTCTTTTATTTGATTCTTTCACGACCATAGGTCGTGGGCATTCCCGTCCTTACCGTAATCGATCAACAGCCAACTTGCTTCCCGCTCATTCATTTGAGAAAAACAGAACCTTCCCTGAAAGGTCTCATATGGTCGGGCAACCCTAGTCTCGGTAGATGGTCTCCCTCGGGAGTGGCGCTTAAGCCATTTTTACTAAAAACGGGAAACTCGTAAGGCTGTCGGGTTACAATGTATGACACAGAAGATGGCAAAAAAAAGCTTTAGAGTCACCGCAGGAGTGCCACAAGGCTCCATCCTGGGCCCGGTGTTATGGAACGTCATGTACGATGGAGTGCTGAGGATAAGATTCCCAGTAGGCGTGAAAATGGTTGGTTTTGCCGGGAATTCCCTCGAAGAGGTAGAGCTGACAGCGGCTCACTCCGTTAAACTTGTGGAGGAATGGATGAGATCCAGGAAACTGGAGCTTGCCCACCACAAGACGGAGGTGGTCGTAGTCAACAATCGCATGTCGGTGCACACGGAACCGAAAAATTACCCAAAATTAAGTTCTTTTCACTCATCTCCCATGTTCCGTTCAATAAGCTAATTTTCAGTAAACCGTTTATAGTAGTTTGCATTTCGCTACGGCAAAAATAATTACTTACTCGTATGTATTTTCTACTCAAAATTAAGTTCAATTGACTCAAATTTGAGAATATCTCATATACTCACTAGTAGCTTATTGAACGATAGTCATGAGAAAGTCGAATCTCTCGTTCCGTTTTTGACAACAACAAAAAGTGAGAGTGGGATGCAAAACTCAAAATTACCCAAAATTAAGTAAAAAGAACTTAAATTTAGGGTATTTTTTTTCTCTGTGCAGCATGTGCAGCGACCACAAACGAAGTGACAGACGGAGCGGCTCGAAAACTTTGGTGACTAACCTGCTATTGCAATTTTTCAGTGTACCACATGGCAACACCACTACTACTGGATTGTACCACATGGCAACACTACTACTGGATTGAACTAGCATATTCACCAAATGTACTAGAATGTTTTGGTTCTATCTCTTTCACTCTTCTCAAAACTGGAATGCATAAAAAAATTACAAAATGATACACTCTTTGCACAAAGAATCAAAATGATACACTCTTTGTCAAAGAATCATTGTACACAAAATCAACTTTGTGCAAAACAGAAACAAAAATACTATCCCGTCTGCAGGATGATGGCACAAGCTTCTAAGAAAATTCTATTACAGCGACCCAAATTATTTTAATAGATTTCTTCGTCAGTTAGTCGTCTGTCACTTCGTTTGTGATACGACGTTGACAGTGGGCGAGTGCCCAGTTAGATCCGTGCGCTCTCTGAAACTCCTGGGGGTTATGCTCGATGATAAGCTCAGCTTCTGCTGTCACGTCGAGTACGCCTGTAAGAGAGCGTCTACGGCTGTGGGGGCATTATCCCGCATGATGTCCAACAGCTCGGCGGTGAGTGCCAGCAAGCGCAGGCTCCTCGCCGGGGTCGTAGTATCTATCCTCAGATACGGAGGCCCTGCGTGGGCTGCGGTACTGGATACCGACTGCCACAGGCGGAAACTAGAGAGCACACATAGGCAAATGTGCTTGAGGGTGGCCAGTGCATATCCAACCATCTCGAGGGAGGCCGTCTGTGTCATAGCAGGGATGATGCCAATCGGCCTCATCATTAAGGAGGATGAGGAGTGCTATAACATGAGGAGCGTTCGAGGGGCGCGCAACAACGCACGCGTGGTATCGATTGCGAGGTGGCAGTCGGAG